TTCCTTATATAATCGTCTAATACTGAAGCAAAAGAGGGTGTTTTTCCAACTTTTCTTTTCTCCTGAAGGCAGCAATTCATGCCCATGTGCGGTTCCACAAAGTCACGGATCCCTGGAGCCGAGAGAAGCTCATCCAAGTAGTTGTGTGGGTCTACAGAGCAAGTTTTGGCAGGCGGTTCAACTGTGGGGGGGCATCACAGCTGAGCCCAAATCCTGTCCTCACCTGAAAACATTTTTAGTTTAACATGCTCAATCTGTCNAAAAATATGCAGAGGAAAAGCACACCCCCAAATATGGAAATAAACTCTTGCAGATGTTCAGCCTTCTTGATGCACCAAAGTTGTTTTGCTTTGAGGAAAAAGAGGTGCTTACAACGTACATTCTTGAAAATTATTCTCTCCCTTTCACCCGTTCCATACAATATTGCGTTCCATTAATCTCAAGAAAAACGCACCCTATTCTCGTGATTACGTCTCGGGGCCTTGCTCCACTGTGATCTTTTCCTTTATTTTCTGTTGGATTGATCTATGCTCATTGCTTTATAATTTCCCTTTATGCAGGGAGTATACATTCTGGAGTTTTCCTCTTAAAACTGCAGAATGCATACTCCTGCATCTCTCTCCTCTTCCTCTCTGTGTTATGCTGAAGTTGACTTTTGCAACTCTCTTCAAAACCCCCAACTGATTTTCTCTGAGGAGCTTGAGCGGATGGAACTCCTCAGCTCGCTCAGCATCCCCTTCCTCGTACAATCTATAGGCTTTAAAAAGCCACGCCTGCCGACGCCTAACTACTTCGCTCCCAAAATATACAGTCGATCCACTTTACAGCATAGTCTATAAAGCGCTACGAGAGAGGGAAGTGTTACAAGTTGTTGTTGTTGTTGTCTCGAGGAAGCGATAAGGTGCTATACCAAAGGCAAGGATTTTTAAAAATTATTATTTGCACTTATCTGTATCACACTTTTTACATCCCCAGAAGCTCAGTGCACAATGGCCATTAGACTGAATTCAGATATGTCAAAGTCACGATGCTCTCTCCCTTATAGGACTAACAGACCTTCGGTCCTGACTTTATAACGATGACACTGGGGTATTTATTGCAGCACGTGCCGTGCTGGAACATTCAAAGGCTTAAAAACAGGTAAGTATGTAAAATAGCTTGTCCGCAATCTGAGTTTAGCGAGGGCTTATCAGGGCTTTAAGTCAAATAGTAAGTTGATGACAGATAGCACGCACATTCTAGGTAGTCTTTTCAGCAAGGTAGTTTCCCACATGTGTTCTGCCTTCCCTTGACATTTCTTTCCCTTTTGCTGCTATTAGACTGATGTTACAGGAGCGGGATAAATTCATTGTAATTTTGTGTCAAAATCCCATTTGTTCCCCTTGGTATTAGTTCTGATAGCAGTACAAACTCTAACAAACTCTAATACTATGCATTTCAGCCCGACACTTACCATCTGCTGTAATGATAATTCAGTCATGTGCAATGATGTTACCTTTACTCACAAGCTAAAACCACAGGTGTCTTTTAATAGAAATATGGCTCCTCTAGCCCATGCTGGGAATTTACAGGAGATCAAACAAAGGTCCCTACTGTAAGACTAAGCCCACTGTCATATTGAGTTTAAAATAGCCGAGTGATTAGTCATAGTCATAAGGCTTAGCAATATCCTTCAGCAAACTAGCATTTGCTTATAACAATTTAAAGTGTTACCAGGGAAAAAGAAAATCCAGCATTTTAATTCAAATGAAAACTCAAGAGAACTGTCAAGAGTTCCCAAGAACACTGACCTAGAATTATTAAACACAGCAGAATCCAGTTACAGGCAACCGGGAAGGGCAGTCGAAATAGATTTGTGCATTTTCTGCATCAAAAGTGTGTCATTGGGAGGGTGGGACTGGGTTGGGATTAAACATATAAGGGGTTGCGGAGCTGTGAATTTGACTTTGCAAGGTGTTGGGTTTATGACTGACACAATAACTTTCACCATTTAAACTGCAGCAGGACAATCCACCTCTGCATGTCGATCCGGCACTGATCATTCAAACTGTGACACTTGGGGCTTCCAGAAATGGCTCCGTGTGGCACAGGCAAGATCCGAAACTTTCCAAAAGCTAATGCAATAGAACAGCGATCGCCGGCTTCCCAACCCGGCAGGTCGATAATTTAATGATTGTTCATGTGTTGCTGTCGGCTCCTAACCTGATTTTCATCTAATAATAACAATAATAATCCTTGCATTTGATATAGCGCCTGATCACAGCATACACTGTGATCTTTAAAACAAGGTGCATAGATGTCACCTCATCAGAAAGAATTTAAAAAATGACTTTTATAAAAATAGAAATTCTATAATTTGAAGCTCCTCTCACAAATGTCAGTGGGATAGATCTACCCAAACCTTGGCCCTGTAAAATTCTATTTCTCTCTCATAGTTTTAACCACATTGAACCCTTTCACCTTTATGTACATCCTGTATTCATTGATGCACATTTGCTAAGATTGCTAAAGACAGTGTGTGTGTATGTGTGTGTGTGGCTAAGATGCAATTTGCTTTAAATAGGATCAATGCAGTATTCTGCATTTCAAATGACCTAATAATCACAAAAACGTCAGTCCCCATTAATGTGGATATCAGACTTTCTAACGTAATCCAGAAATACACCATAAAGGGACAACAGAATCTCTGCAGTTTTTAAGAGCAAACATTAACTATGGAAGAAAATCTTATCCCACATTTTCTTGTACATATGCACAGTAAGTACATGTTATCTGTAATGATTATCAATTTCTTCAGAAAACTATAATCCTTCAAAGGACTATAGAAACCTGAACGTGGGACGGGGCCGCAAGCAATGTCAACAGCCTAAGTCCGAGTGTCCAGGCTGTCACTCAACAAACAATAAACAACAACTTGCATTGATATCACTCTCTTCACGCGAGGTCGCATCTCGGAGCACTTCAAATGAATGAATAAGTGCCTCGGATTTCTGCTCTGTCATCTGCGTTAGTGGTGAGTAAACCTGTGGAAGATGCCACATCCTCAGGAACTGGTGACTGCTCAATTCTTCCAGAAATTATTTTTGGAAGAATGACAAGGCAGATGTCTAATAATTACAAATATATGCCTCCCGAGCAAAGTTTTTATTGCGGAAACTACAGCTTTCAAAATGTTATTTGGTTTTGGATTTATCAGATTCCTTGTAGCTTGTACTAATTTAAATTTAAAAGCGATCTTAAAACCTTAACTGCAATTTACAGAGCGATGATTTCTCTGTTAACATGTAGGGAAAGAGATCTATCAAATGGTGATGTATGAACAGTGACGTTCTTATAATTCTTGCAATTATAGGTATTAGTGGGAATGCTCATACCACACATATTTCAAACATGTCAGGAATAATCCTTGCATTTGATGTAGTGTGGAAGTATCTCAAAGCGCTTCACAGGATTTACCGCAAAAGTGCCTGCGTACTTCGAAGGCGAACACGGCAGCCAATTTGCACTCAGCAACGCTCCGAGAACAGCTATGAAGTGAGTCACCAATTTTATTTGTTGGCCAGGGGATCGGGAGAAACCACCGTCTCACTCCGGGATCTTTAATGTCCATCCCAACGGGCCGAAGAGAAGAGGCTGTTTGAGGTCGCAATCCTGAAGTGGGGCTTGAACCCGCAACTTCAAGGGAGGGGGGGGGTTTCAACCGGATGTCCGACACACACACGCCTGTTTATCGAGCAGTAAGTAAGAACCCAGTCGTTAGTCGATTGGCGGATCACTTTCCGGTGGTCATAATCCCTTCTCAAAAAACATGACAATAATTTGGCCGCACTCACTCCACCACTGTTTTTTGAGACGCTGCTGCGCGCGACTGGCTGCCGCGCTTCGCCCGCACCGCGCACAGTCACTACACTTTACAGGATACCCTGCGAAGCGCTTTGAGACGTCTCGTTGACGTCCCAAAAAACCAAAACCATGGGCGGACTTTCGAGCGCTGCTTAAAAGAAGAAAAAAAAAGAGAGAAAAAAAAACCTCCCGCCATCGGGAGGAGCGGATCCCCGGCGACCGCGACGGCCGACACCATGCGAACGAGGCGCAAAAACTACAACTAAAACCCCGGAGGGGAAGGGGAACGCTCGGCCGGGAACGGCAGCATCTACGGAGAGACGGAGAGGGAGCGCAGGACATTCGACGTTTCGGGGTCCACGACACCAACCCCCCCCCCTCCCCCAACCCCACCCTTCCTCAGGAGCGTATCCGCTCTCCGCTCCCTCTGGGGGGGTTGGGGGAGGGGTTGGGGGGGGGGGGGGTGAGGGGGTTGGGGAGGGGTTGGGGGAGGGGTTGGGGGAGGGGTTGGGGGGGGGTGGGGGAGGGGTTGGGTGGGGAGGGGGGGGAGGGGTTGGGTGTGTTTCAGATTTCCAGCATTTGCAGTGTTTAAGCCTTTTGTGCAATGAGGGGGAGGGGGGCGTTTGGGGGAAGTGTGTGGGGTTGGGGTTGGGGGTGGGAGGGGGGTCGCAATGCATTGGCTCCTGGCTCACTCCTTCCACCCACACCCATCCATACCCACCCCGCCCCGCCCCACCCCCGGCAGCAGCACCACCAGTCCGGGTTGCCATGGATTACTCAACGCCCAGGCTGTGCTGCGGGCCCTTTGCAAATGCAGCCTCGGTCGGGGCAGTGTAGTGACCTGTGTGGGTGGGTGTGTATGGGGGAGGGGGGGGGGGGGGGATGGGTTTGCAATGCATTGCCACAGGAGACACCTCCCCGTGTGTGTGAGTGTGAGTGTGTGTGAGTGTTGCACGAGGAGCGGTTGCAAACGAGAGGCTGCGGCGGTGCCCTCGCGCCCCCTCCTCCCCTCCCCCTCCCCCGCACTGCACTGCACCGCACTGCACCGCCCTGAGCGCGCGCGCGCTGCCCGGGTCCCGGGCCGCCTGTCAATCACAACCCCCCCCCCCACCCCACCGCCACCTCACCCCCTCACTCCCTCCCTCCCTCACCGGTACCTGCTCCGTCACCATGACAGCCGCCGCGTTCCATCGCTTTGTTCTGTGACGCACACCGGCCCCGCCCCCCTCCTCTTGCTCGGCCCCGCCCCCTCCACCACCTCCTCCTCCTCCTGCTGCTCGGCCCCGCCCCTCCCTCCTCCTCCTCCTCGGCCCCGCCCCCTCTCCACCTCGGCCCCGCCCCCTCCTCTCCTCCTCTCCTCCTCCTCCTCTCCATCACCAAGAAGACATTCAACTTTTTTTTCCTTTCTTTCCTTCCTTTCTTTTCTTTTCTGTCTGTCTTTCTCTTTCTGCTTTTTTTTGGGGGCGATTGTAATGATAATAATAATTATTGTTATTATTTTTTTTGGGGGGCAATTAAAAAAAAACCTCTCGGTGATATTTTTAGGGATATATGTGCATATATAAAGGTATATCTTTTGCAAAAGGCAATTTTGTTTGCAAAGTTTCGGATCTTTCTTCCCAAAGCTCTGGTTCTGCGAATCCCACCACCACGACCACCGTCACCATTAAGGAAGTTTAACGGTGCAACTTTGGCTTCAGTTCAAATTCCATATATTTTTTTAAAAAACACTTATTTTATTAATGTATTTTTTAATATATATATATATATATGCTTGCCAATTGCAAATGTTGCACGCTTCGAATCACTCCTCCGATCTTCCGGTCTCCTATTCCTGCAAATGCAAATGCCTCCACCACCACTTTCGGCAACAAGAAGAAGTTAACAGCGCAACTTTTTTTTATTGCAAAAGATGCAAAACTTAGAAAAAACTTCCACATGTATATTTTTTATATATTACAACTGGCAATTTTTTGGTGTTTCAAATCTCTCCTCCAAAGCTCCAAAGCTCTCTCTTCTGTCCTGCAAATACCGCCACCACCATCCACACAAGAAAAAAGTTTTAAAGTGCAACTTTTTTTCTTTCAGTTCAACAGTTCAAATGAATAAAAAATACTCTTTGTGTAGGTTTTTCGATTGCAAATTGCAAAGTTCACGTGTTTCAAATGCCTTCTCCGAAGTTCTGGCCTCCCTGCCTCCTGCAAATGCCACCAAGAAGTTTAAAGTGCATCTTTTCCTTCAATTCAAATAAATAAAATCATTTATTTACATTTATAAATGTAAAATAAAATCATTTATTTACATTTATTTATATGCATGTATACAAAACCAAACACAAGTTTAAAAGTTTCAAAACTCTCTTCCAAAGTCCTGGCAACTTTCCCCCACCCCTGGGCCCAAACCCGACAAATCCCACCACCATCAATTTTAAATAAAAGCAATTTTCCTTCAAATATAAAAAAAATAAAGTTGGTTTAAAGGTTTTGGTTCCCCCAAAGCACCTCCCTCACTACAAATCCCACAACACAAACCGGGACGGGTGAGAAAGGGCAAAGCAAACAGCTTAAAAGTGCAACCTTTCTTCAAATAAATAAATAAAGCAATTAATTTAACAAAATTATAACTAATTCAAACGTTTAAGGCTTGTGCATCTTCCTCTGCTGCAAATCCCAAACAATGCAGAAAAAGTTTCCAAGTGCAACCTGGCCAGCAATCCTCCAGATAAAAATTGGTCAATGACTTCATGACTGTTTGTAGTACATTGCTGCGTGCAAATTGACTGCCGCTTTCACTTACAAAATGCACAGTCACTACACTTTTTCAAGCAGTCTCATCGTCTATTATTTAAAGTTTCTGCAACATTACTGAAGTAAAAATTGACTCTGAATGGGAAGGTCTGATGATTTAGTTGACTGTGCTTCTTCATCCCTGCAATAAATTGTGTCTCAAATCTACTCACCAGGGAGTATATACAACAACAACAACAACAACAAGATTCCATTTATAAAGCGCCTTTCACGTCAGGAGGACGTCCCAAGGCACTGCACAGTTGGGTCATGACCCGAGCAGGGGGGAAATGGTCAGGGTGAGGGGAGGGAAGGAGCGAGGAGGGGGGAAATGGTCAGGGTGAGGGGAGGGAAGGAGCGAGGAGGGGGAAATGGTCAGGGTGAGGGGAGGGAAGGAGCGAGGAGGGGGAAATGGTCAGGGTGAGGGGAGGGAAGGGAGGGAGCGAGGAGGGGGAAATGGTCAGGGTGAGGGGAGGGAAGGGAGGGAGCGAGGAGGGGGGAAATGGTCAGGGTGAGGGGAGGGAAGGGAGGGAGCGAGGAGGGGGAAGAGAGTCGAGAGGGAGCTGAAGGCTCGGTCAAAGAGAAAGGTTTTGAGACCGGCCTTGAAGGAGGAAAGGGAGGAGGCGGCGAAGGCACTGGGGGATGGAGTTCCAGAGCCTCGGGGCTGAGAGGCTGAAGGCCCGACCACCGATGGTAGGGCGGTTGGGGCGGGGGACGTGGAGCAGACCGGAGCCGGAGGAACGGAGGGTACGGGCAGGTAGGTAGGGGATAGTAGGTCAGAGAGGTAGGAGGGAGCAAGGCCGTGAATGGCCTTGTAGGTGAGGATGAGGATCTTGAAATCAATCCTCTGGGGGATGGGGAGCCAGTGGAGGCGAGCGAGGGTGGAGTGATGTGATCGCGAAGCCTGGTGCGGGACAGTACACGAGCTGCAGAGTTCTGAATGACCTGCAGCTTGTGGAGGGAGGTGGCGGGAAGGCCGGCGAGGAGAGAGTTCCCATAGTCCAGCCTTGAGGTGACAAAGGCGTGAACCAGAGTTTCAGCGGCGTGAGGGGTGAGGTAGTGCCGTAGTCTGGCCGTATAATCACACTATATAATAATAATAACAATCCTTGCATTTGATACAGGACCTTATCAGTCGTTGAGACATCTCAGAGCTCTTCACAGAATATACAGTAAAGTGTAGTGACTGTGCATTTTGTGAGCAAAACGCGGCAGCCAATTAAACAGCAGTATCCCACAAACAGTCGTGGATTGAGTGACAAAATCGGCTGCCGTGTTTAGCCCATAAAATATACAGTCAGTTCACTTTACAGTATATTCTGTGAAGCGCTTTGAGACGTCTCAACGGAGTGAAAAGGCGCTGCATCAAAATCAAGGATTATTATTATTAATTTGGGAGCGCACAAAAGACAAAAAGGGAGAAGGAAGGAAGGAGAGTGGGCAGAAGGAAAATAGTGTAACGGGATAAGAGAGAGAGAGAGAGAGAGAGAGAAATGCGGAATAAAAAGTGAAATTAGAAAAGAAAGGAGATCGGAGCGAGAGAGAAATAAAATGCGCAGCAGAAGAATGAAATTGTGTCGAATCCATCTGTTGGAATTCAACACAAGTGAAATTGACTCGCAGTAAACCAAAACATCTTGCTTTTCTTCATTGCACGTTTCTCTCTTTTATTTTCTCTTTCTTCTCCCACCACCCATTCCCCCCCCCACCCCTTTTTTTTATTCCTCTTTTCTCTTTGCAATGGTCCTCTGACAGATTCTGCAAAGAACAGTGCGTGTGTGTGTGTGTGTGTTGGAGGGATTTGCAAAGTTTTTGTTCGCACATATAAACCCACGCAAAGGTTAACAATAACAACTTGCATTTATGTAGCACCCCCTCACGCAGACAGAGCAGCGTCCCAGAGCACTTGATCCAGGGCAGCCTGTTGCATTAACATTCAACAGCAAAAGGCTGTTGTCTTCCAGGAGAAACTCGCAGACCCTGAATGAGATGGATCGTGGCTTCCCCAGCAAAGCGGGCACAACAAGACTCCTTGCTGAATGGATGGTGACAGGGTTCCTGGTTTTTGCTGAAATCCGTGGCAGTGACGTTTTTTTCTCATCTCGCATTATTTGAAATTGTGGGCAGATTCGTTTTACGTCGGATTGGCCTTCTCTGTTTTTTTTTTACGTAGCAAAAAACCAAAACAAAAACTCCCCCCCTCTTCCTTTAATCCTTCGTTTCGCCCACAAAGTATACAGTCAATTCACTTTACAGTATATTCTGTGAAGCGCTTTGAGACGCCTCGAAGACGTGATAAGGCGCTGTATCAAATACAAGGATTATTCTTATTCTGATTATAATTCTCCTGCCAAGAACTTCACCACACCCTCCAAAGTTTGCAGAGAGAATGCAACGTACAAATGAATTGCAGAATCCGAAATGACAGCCTTTTTGCTCCTTCGTTTCTTGCAATGTATCTGTACCTACTGAGGATTTATTCAAGACATGAAGCGCAGTCTTACTCAAATAATAATTGCATTTGGTGTAATGCCTTCCACGTCGGTAGGATGTCTCAAAACGTTTCACAGGATTTACAATGAAGTGGAGTGACTGTGTATTTTGTAGGTGAACGTGGTGGCTAATTTACGCAGAGCAATGTCCCGCAAACAGGTATGATGCAAATGACTATTTTTGGTGGGAGATGGTTGGCCAGGACACAGGGAGAAACTTTATTTCTCTTATTCAAGCTGGTTGTTATTATCGAAGTTACTGCAACATTGCTAATGACTGCAGTGAAAATGGACTCCTTATGAATGGGAATGTCTATGGATAAGCCTTTGAAATGGTTCAACCTTGTAATAAAGTGTATTCTCCTCAATGAGAAGGGAGTATGTAATGACAGTATATCCTCTTGTCATCCCGTGTATTAACTGCCCACTATGAAATTTATCGCTCACCTACATTTTCTGCTTCCCAGTCACAGGATGGTTTGCTGGTCACAGTATTAATAGATCGCTCTTGCCATGGGTAATCTCAAAGACAGTGCATACGGTGCTGGATTCCTGACCCCTAGACGCTCACCTTATCTGGCCTTCCCAAATCTTTGATGCACAGCTATCCATAGAAAAGAGAAGCCTGTGTTGAGTTTTTACAACTCTACTGAGGTTCATTGGGTTGTCAGAGGCAGCTGTAGAACATAGATAAGTGAGCGTATGCGCTACTCACTGTTCCTTACCAATGTGGCACTCACCAGGGCCCCACTGACACAAGTGGAACCACTGCGCTCGTCACAGTCAATGTCTATCAGTCGTTAGTACTGCAAATGTGCAGAAAGGAATTGGGGATGAGCCAAATCAGCCAAGTCGTGTATAGAATTCTTCAGTACAAGCAACATTTTCTTTGGCGAAATAAGAGTTCATTCTTGGATTCTCAATTTCCCCCAAGAGAATCATTTACTA